CCGAGCCGCGTTCCAAAGAGAGAATATTGCCCGCCGTTAGCCGAACAATGGCACGACGTGGAACAAAAGGTCTATTCAATAAACTTGAACGCGAACTTTCGGCACGTGAAGGGTTGAAACGCGCCGACCGATACGATTCCGCAGCGAGCTCGTTCCGACTCCAGCTACTCCGGTGGAACCCGTTTAGTTCTCCGGAGGAGATAGTTTTCCCTCGGGACGAAACGAAAACGTGATCCAACCGCGAGTTAATCTGAATTTGAATCCTCGTTGGTCGGAGCGAACTGTCTGTCGCATGCGTACCTATCAGAATCGTGAGATAAGGGTTAGGGGGCGGGCATGAAAACGGAGAGAAATCGCTGCAGGAGACACTTAATCCTGTCTGACCCGTGCCTACGCACGCGAAACTGTCTCCTCGGTGGAAACTTAATCCGGGGCTGATTCAGCCGACTGGAATTTGACAGACGAGACCCGTCTGCCGTTCCCGGCGAGGAACAACGGGGACTGTCATCGCGGATTACAATGTGCCGTTTAATTATTCCAGCCCGCGAGTCGCAGCTCGAGGAAGCCAGGAAATTACGTCACGCGTTTTGCCGTTCGCCAGGGCTCGGGCTTGATTAATTCTCCAACGCGTTTATGAAATTCTACTCATTCTCATTTCGCTCGCGACTGTTTCCTTTTTTCATACTTTTCTATCCCCGTTGACACAATATTTACAACGATCCTCGAGCAGTGGACAAAAGTAATCCACGGTCGTGTACAGAGGAATAAAGTAATAGTCCGCCGCGTTCGGTCAGAAGGAAAATTGGACTCTCTCGGGCTTACTCGCCTCTCTTCTTCTCTTTATTTGTTGCATAGAACGAAGAGGGAGAAACGCGATTCACCTAAATCTGAAACGCGGCTCGATTCGCAGTTCCGATTCGTGACTGCGTTATCGTCCCACGTGCAAAACTTGCATCGAATTCCACGTATCAGCTGGTTCCACTCTAATAGCCAGCTGTCGTGGAGTAGGTAGTTTCAAATGAAAACGTCGCTGTCACTCGCAGAAACTCTCTGCTCCGACCGCGCCGACTCGACCCGTCCCCGAAAACTGTGACCCATCCGTGTGCCGTTCATTCCCGACATTCGTCCCCAATGAATCGTTTCACTTCGAATTGATTAACGCGTCTCTTCGACGACATCGAATTCCAAAGGCAGCTTCTACGGTTTTTCGAAATTCTTCGCTAGCCGCAGTCCGACGTGTCTATCGAAATTCTCGACTTCGTGGAAGAAACCTTTTAACCGTTTCCAATACATATCTCGGCGGCCATGCAAATAGATAGGCGAACACGGGAAGCCGGAAGTCGTTGGACGCGTTCCAAGAAATCTCGTTCGCCAGAGTAAATTTCCTTGCTGGGGAACAATACTCGCGCGGCGCAATCCTCTCTTGAAATATTGATTCTCGCAACTGAGGTATAACTTTTTTTCTCGTATAAATTATTCTTAACCGCGTCGAATCGTGGCAAGTTTTTCAACGGGACTTAGAAACGATTCCTGTACGCGTGGAAAAATGTGATACTTCCAATAGTTCTGTCGGCGCGTGAAAATCCACCGGCGAACGTCCGTAATCGCGACTGAAATCTAGGTAGCTACTTTATTATCTGCTGAAAAATATGACGAGCATTTTTCGCGTTTAAATATTTTACGCTGAAAAGCTCGTGGGAGACGAGATTCCGTGAGAACGTCGCTGGTAGGATTAAAACCAGCGGCGAACGTGACGTTGCCGCGTAGACGCATCCCCTGGAAATCCTCTGATTTGCAACGCGTAGGAGAGTTCTAGGAAAAGATTTTCATCTTTCAATCCGTGGGTTTAGTCCACGATTATTAGCGATCGATGAACGAAGCAGTCGATGACGAAGCATCGAAGTCGTGCCCACGTCTGTGCGCTTGTGTTCGATCCTTTCGACGAAACGCTGCCCTGTACAAACTTATTCCGCTAGTAATAGTATTTAGACTCGAGCGTCGATCGTTTCGCAATTATCTCGTGAAATCGCGACCGCGTAAAAAGAGCCGGAGTCGAAACTGTTAGAGAAAGTGAACGCAACGCGGTAACATTGTTGGAGCTGGAGTTACACGTACAATGCAGAAACGGTGCGGTATAATAGGATAGGCGGAAGTTTAATTAAAACCGAACTGGCGCGTTGCTTTCGATTTTCGAATTGGAACTGCAAAGGACAAAGAGAGCTAGCCGGTTTATCGGTTTCTCTTAATTAAGCGGCGACGACCGTCCGACGTCGATACTAGAAACGATAGGTACCGATTGATTCGCCGGAAACGGAGGGAGGAGGAGGACGAGGATCGGGGAGGGGAAAATGATTAGATCTCGGGATTAAATCTACGCGCGCTTCTTCGAACACTCTATATAATTCGAACCTGTTAAATCGATCTAAACTATTTCAATTGCCGATGTACACACTGGGAACCTTCGCGCGGACCTCTGTTTCCGTGAACCACCGTCGACGCGACGACCCATCAATCTTCATTCCTGTCCATTAATCCTAAAGACGTGTAGACGACGTTCTCGTCGTCGTGTGAATGATTGACAAAAACCAGGTGGTAAATCGTTGCTGGAAAACGAGAGTCACCACCGATCACGGGGATGCGGAACCGTTCGATCCGCGGTTGAATCGATCGTAGAATTTCCTCATTGCTTCTCATTTTGCTTTGTTCTACGCTAGTTACATACGTCGGACGTTCTCGCCGTTTCTCGTTTGAATTCGAACAAAAGAAGAAAACGACGACCGAGCGATGATAGCCGGCGAGCGTCACGATGCATAACATCGCGTTTCGCTATGCTAATTTAATTACACTACGGGACGGACGGAACCCGACGATGATTAATTCCGAGCGCATAATTCGCCTCAGTTCGAGAATTACGCTGGCGCGATCCACGCGTTTCGGCAGGGCAATCGCGATATCCTTCCGCGGCGGCGGTGTCGTCGTTGGGAACTGCAACAGGAACCGGTAACCAGGAAACGGTATTTCTCCCGAGTTGACTGTACCAGAGTCTGGCCAGGCACGAGCAATCTACTTCCTATCGCGCGCCAACGGCAGAGCCTGTGTTTGGCAAACAACAACATTTACCGTTACTACGAAAATTTATTAAACATCCTCCACTTTCGGTGGATAGACGGCCGGGATCGATACGTGTTGTTGCGCGTTGCGCAGCTGACACTCGTCTCCCATTAAAAACGTGGAATTAACAGGAATTTGAGTGACGTTTAATGAGACAACGCTACGAGTACGCTCGTACATGCAATATACGAGCGCACTAGACGAACGATGGAAATATAAAAGCACGACCCTTAATAGAAAATAAATCATTATGTACAGCTTGAAATAATGACTCTCGACCTGTTTTTAACTGCATTAGCTTCCCTTCAAGGGACTGGACTCGAATATGGTAATAAATCTATATCTTCTTTTTGCTTCATTAAATGCTAACAGATCTTTTATACTAAAGATAATTTGAGAACTCTAATGGGAGTAATGTATTAAACTTAGGTTTCTTAGCTTCTTATCTATACATACAAGCCTTGGGAGAAGACAATTTCTACTTGTTTCATAATTTGTAAATTTATATGCATCTTCTTTTACACTTCGTTTTAAGAACCTAATTAAAATATAAAACAATATTAATATAGAGTTGATGAGCTCCAGTTGATTTGTGGGCAGTATAAGAAATCTGGTGTTAATCGTACAGATTCGTTTTGGATATTGTTTTCATGAGGGAAACTAATGTAATAAAAATCTGGTCAAGAATTATAGGTTTTCAGACTCGTTACTTATTTACGATCACCTTAAGCATTTGCTCAAGTCCCTGTTTCCTGTACAAGGGACTGGAAATGTAGGATAGACAGGCATAGGAAATGCTTAAGACGATCTTAAAAATAAATAACGACTATAAATACTGGTCACAGTTCTAAGTTGTACATTGCAGTAGTCAGCATGCTAGTAGCTGATAAATTGCAATGTACTTATTAGTTCAATTTGTCTTATCAGTGGGACTTGATAAAAAAATTCTAACTTACAACAAAGTTGAAGTCTGAGTACAGGTGTTGCTCGGTTGTTCATGCAACTATCAGTTTCCGATAACGTGTAATCCAGTTACGTGAAAAAGAAATCAAAGCGGAAATGATAATTGTGGGATAGTCGATCGTGCGACTCGATCGACGTTCTTCGAACCCGATAAGAAGTAGATGATCTAACAGACATGAGACGGGGATTCCTTTCGAGGACAATAACGCGTCGACGAATCTGGCTTCGCGATTCCGTGAACGGCGCCGCTTTCACCGATTGTTTCGTATTCCGACGGACGAACTTTTAATTAAAAGTTGCAGTCGAATTGAATAGTCAAACGAGTCGGTCGGGCCAGGCTCGAAGTTGGTCAATTTAAAATTCGCGTGTAACGCGTCCGCGTCGCGGAACTTTGCGCTAACGAATGTGCACACCCTCGGCGAACACCAATGGATGGGCGAATTCACTCGCGTTCCAAAATCGACATGAAAATTTTCGCGACGAACGACGCGTTCTCCCGACACTGCGAGAAGCTGACGCGGAAAAACGAGACGGGACCTCGGCTCTGCCCGTCAGAAGAATCGATATCAGATAATGGGACAGGAAAAAATATCGAGTGAAATCGAATTCTCGTTGGATTTTCGATGCGCTCGTATAAACGAATCTCGCGTAGCTACTCTGTCCTCTCTTCGGTCTTGAATGCGCGCATTTGCCATTTTTAAATAATGTGTAGTTTCTCCGTAGGGATGAAAGGTTCGTTAAAAGCTACCGGTTAATGCACTTTTTCAGAGAACTCGTTACACGAAGCTAATGCGACGAGTGAATTTCAATTTCATTCACTTTTTTTTTTACAGCCGAGTGTTAAAGCGCCGTGATTAAGTGGCGATTGAATTGGAAATAAGGAACGATGGTATTAGGAAACGAGATTAACGACTGTGTGCTTTCAGGGAAAACAATCAAATAATCGGTTCGTATTTGGAGATCGAGGATATAACTCTGGAGGATTACGGTGAATACAAGTGCGAAGTTAGCAATGGCGTCGACGAGGAGATTACGTTGCCGGCTCACATCTATCGACAAGGTAACTAAACCGTCAAATTCCTAGTTTGAGCAGTAATTATCTCGGCCGCTTTACCGTACGCGATACACCGACTACCAAAGCAGTGTTCCTGTAAAACCACGTTTTTCTGCTACTGACGGTAACGCGATCGAACGGGTGATTAAGAAACATACCGGAATTTTGATTAAAGCAATTCTGGCTCACGATTCAATCCAATTAATCGGTATTTAGATAATCGGATAATTAGAAGGTAGTTTTTGTAACGAGCCCTTTTTAGCGATCGTCCGCACGCGTGGATTCGATCGTATCCAAAGGAGAAACGCGTGCGGTTGGCAAATAAACGGGAGAGCCAATATCCTGTACTGACTACGACTAATTAACGGGCCGATCCGTAATTTAAACGACGTCTTGCAGTGATTTCAATCGTATCCGATTTAATTCGCCGCTCGTTACTCGGTCGACGAGCGTGGCCCAATTAATTCCAGCCAATTAACCGAAATTCGTACGCGGTGCCGACACTTCGCCGTAACGCGTTTCACTTTCGGGAAAACTGTTTGTCGTCATTCACCCGGTTTTTCTTTCTCTTCTCATACGCTGTTCACCGATCGATACAGCTTTTCGCCTTGCCACTCGTAAAAAAGAAACAACTCTTGCTTTTAAACCGTTCAAATACGTAGCTTTGAACGAGATCATCGGATACACCACGCGGGATGCAATGAACGATATGAGTTTTAAGCGTCAATAAAACGTATTCGTAGTAAAGATTGAAAATCTGTTTTCTGATGGATTTGTCGGCATCTTTTTTTCTTTTGCAGAGCCGCAATTCGCATTGGGTTTGCAAAACGGATCGTGGAGGAAGTCGTTTTTGGTCGGCATTCTGGTACTGCTGTTGTTAATATCGGCCGCTGCGTTTTACGCTCGCTGCTGGCTGCCTCTGGTGCTACTTTGTCGGGACAAATTCGCCCCGCTCGAAGAGAATGGTAATTATCGGATAGCAACTACTCTTTTTCGCTCGGGTAAATGCGATTCTTAATTACCCCCGGCGTTCGCCCCCCAGCAGCTTTGTGCCCCGACGCGATCCTCCACGAATTAAACACCCTTCGCCTTTCCTCCGAGCTCTCCTTTTTTTTGTTCCGTTCTCCAGTCGCTCGCTTAACCCCGCGAAAGAGGATCAGCTAATCCGGCTGTAAAGGGTGGCTCAAGTCCTCTGACCTTTAATTGGACAATCAGTTTTACTTCAACGTTTAACCCTTCGCGTTTATTTAATGCGGATCGTGCTGCATACGTGATGACGAGAATTAGGCGATAGTCACGTCAATTTATGGGAACTGCGAGTCCTAGAATATACGATGACTCAGTGACTGTTTCGTTATCGTGCAGTATCTTATCACAGAGATTCTTAAATCCTCCCCATTTTCTGCGGCCAGTTTTTTACCAAAACCAATTCAGGTTTCTTTTTTATTTATCGGGAAACGACTTCGGGAACTGTGCAACGGATGCAACAAATTCCGGAGATCGCGTTCGGTATCACGTTTTAAGAGCCAGACTGGCCAGTTACGTTAACTCGGCCGAAATTAACATATCGAATTCCCATTTCGTGCAACTTTTACGTATCCCACGTTATGCCAGCCGCGTTCGCTCGATACTCCGGAGTCTCGAGGAACTTGCACCTCGCATCAGGCTCTAATATTCCCGGAGTGGCCGCACCCGCTTAATCCTCGGGGTTAATGCCGAGCGGTTCGCGTCGACGACTCACTTTCCTGCTTCTCTTTTTCGCGGTTCGAATCGATCGTGACGTCGCTTCTCCTCTTGAAATAATTAGAGCGCACCTTTCGTAGCCGATGCGGATAGGTATTTGTGCAACATTCACCGTTCGATACACCTGTTATCGAACTCCGTTATCGGGGACGCTTTCATCGTAATGTTTTTAATCCAGCCTGTAACAAATACGTGCTCTACAATTGTTCTTCGCTATCCTTGTGACATCGTGTAAATGTCAGTAACCGTGAGACTTAGGTAAAAAAGAAAAATGAACTTCTCGCGCTCTGTTTTGCGTAAAGGAATCATTGAATTATCTTGATGATCCCTGAGAACGAAGCAGTAGGGGGAAGAGGTAGGAGGGCGATGAGTCGCAGTCATGTACCGACTAGTTACACGTGTAAGTAGTTACAGAAGGAGATATAAGCAAAGAGGAGAGACGGGATCTAGTCGATGCCACTCGATGGCGATCGAGTGTGGCTCCTAATACGGAAGCTGGAAAATTACCGCGATTACGACGGTTCTGGGAAGAGCGGCGACGTTGCCCATTAACGTTTCACGGAGATCGTCGTTCCGCCTCTTTCTCTCTCTCTCGCTCTCGGCCTCTCCGTGTCGCCCGTCGGTGTTGAAACGTCGACGGAGAGTCGCAAAACTCGTGAAACGACGATCTCGAAGTTAAAAGCCGAATCAGTCGACTGACAAACGGGACGATTAAAGTTGTCTCGGTGGCGATTAACGGGCGATCGATGCGCGATTTCCATATCCGTCGCACCGATCGCGTGGCTACGCCCCTCGTTACCCCCCCCGTTCGATTCTCGAATCCGTTCGCGGGAGACGAATTGGTTCCCGGCGGGGGTCACGGACGGTAGGTCGGAAAATAGACCGGACAGAGAGAGGGAGTTTTTCATCGAACTACCAACGGGGGAAACTGTGAAAAATCGTGAAACCGTAACGAACGGTACGCCCCTCGTTAGGTCCCGAGACGAGACGAGACGAGACGAGACGAGGCTATCGATCGTCTCGTGATTTATCGAGATTTTCAGCTCGTTCCGAGATCCGTCGTTTATATGCAGGCACGTGCGCGCGGCGCGCGTGGAAACGCGTCGGCGGACCTCTCCGTGCCGATTATTCACGGCGAGTGCCACCGAGCGTACTCCTCGTCTCTCTGCTAGGAATTTCATTTACCGGTCATTGTTCGACGCGCGGTTAATGCGTCTTCTCGAAGCATTTTACTCGAGACCATTTTCATTCTCGAAATTACTACGAAACGAGTCTGGCTTGGCACCGATTTCAATTGGGCACGTAACAGGTGGACGAAGTATCCTTCTCGGCAGCGGTTCAAACGCAGACGAAACGTTTCCGAGTCTGCGTCAACGATTGTCGAGAATCGTTCCACGAACAATTGGCCACTTTCACTCGGTCGGAATTCGTGTTCGCGGCCTCGTAGACGCGGTTACGAGTTAGAAACCAAGCGGCCTGTAAAACCGAGGAGGAGAGAACGCTGTCAAGTAGCGAAGGCAAATTTTCATCTCTCCACCAGGAAGGACCTATTTTCGTAAACAGGAAACGACTGTCTTTATCTACTCTTTTTCTTCCGCGAACGTCGTTTCCCTTAAAAGCCACTGCCACAGTTTTCCGTGTAAACTATTCCGGAATAATGCAAAGCTCCAGGCAATTTGAAACTAACTTCGACGGTATAGATCGCATCGGCTGCACAAGAGGTTTCGTTTTTATCTCGTTCTCTCGATTTGAAGTTTACTCGTCAGGCGATAGCAGTAGCTTTTTTTTCGTCAGAACATAGGCACGTAGCGTGAGAGAGAAAGACGAATTAATCACACGTCACGAACACGAATTGCAGACGGCAAGGAATGCGACGCTCTGGTGTGCTATCACGAGAAGGACTCGAGCCTGGTCATCGGAATAGTGATCCCGACGCTGGAGTCGAGGCATCGGTACAAGTGCACGGGATTAGAGCTCTCTCAGCTGAATCAGAACTGTAAGTAATTCTGTTTAATTAACCGGGGACTCTCCACGACGAAGTGGCCCTCCTTTTTTAGATAACATTGTATTTCACATCGATAGAACCTGCATATAGTATTAAACAAGAAGAGCGAAAGATACATGATTAACAAGTTGACTGTCAACTACGAGATATCTCGTCCCTTCATTATTTGTAAACTCATAGCATAACATTGTAAGACCGTTTCGACCGGAATCGTGAAGAATTCCGTGGCAGTCAACGTGTTAACTCAGCAGTTCTCTTGATTTTATTGAAAAATCGATGAAACGATGAACGGACATGGGAAACTGGTTTTATTATTTTCGGTATTTGGCTTGAAAGAACGAAGAGACATTGCAACGGGGACGCTTATTACGATGACTCGTCGTTTCAATTGATAGCTGTGGACAAGTGTTCATCGATGAAGTCGCGCGAAGGGTAGGCAAACAGTAGCAGGGAGGTCGTGTTTTGCAAAGTAAAAAGGCGGAACGATACGCGACTACCAGAAATAAGAACGAACAAAAGTTAGCCAGGGCTCTAGTTTCGCGGGCCAAATGTCGCGCCGCGGTATGGCCGTTTGGGTTGTCACCCTCGGGTTCTCCGCATCTCATGAATATCAACGGTTTTAGGCGCGCGATAACGGGTGGTTCGGCGAAAAAATATTCAGACGCTAATTTCGGTCTAATTGGCGGGACGAAATTGACTGGCCATATTGGCGAACGACGAAGAATGCGGTCTCTGTGATTTTATAAATGCAAATTGCGCGACCCTGATGCACGTCTCCCAACGCAGATCGATTTATTCGTCGTTTCGATCACTCTTTTCTTTTTTTCTTCACAGGGAAACAGTTTCGATCATCTATTTGTGTAACACTCTCTTCTTTAGTAACAGGTCTCACATTTTTTCATTGACGATCATTAGACAGTAGATTGGACGCGTTCGCAATAAATTATTCACGCGAGATGATGAAGAATGTTTCTTGTGTCAAATGGAGAGACCGCATACGCGTGACAGATAAACCGGAAAATAGCGGTGAATCAGGATCCCGGAACCAGTGCGCGTTGCAAGCTTGCAAATTGAATTAGAAAGTTGGTCCTGGTGGCTGGCTTCTCGGACTTGGACGCGGGCGTCTCGTTTGTCTCTCTGGGAGACAGCCGCGGTTTCGAATTAGGTGTGTACGAAACCATTCCCTCTGCAAACTCCGCGTTTTCGTGCCACCGACTTTCGATAACTTTGCGAAACCACAAAACTGCAACGATCTCCTTCTCTCTGTTCCCGAGACCCGGTTCTCCGCAACGTTAAAAGACGAATTAAGAAAGTCGCTCGTTAGTTTAGAGAACTTGTCGCTACTTTGGAAAACTCGATAGTCTTCGGGTGGGAAAAGTAAAACGACTTTTGCCTTTGTTTTTCGGCTTTACGATTTTTTTTAAAAAAAGCAAGAGGATTACTGGCCAGCGTTGATGCCGTGGAAGTGGGACGACAAGCCGCGGAATTTTGCGGGAAAGAATCTCTCTAGAATGCCGAACATCTTCGAGCTGCTCGGAGTGCAGGAATTTCGCGCAAAGTTCCACGGAGCTCAAAAGGAAATTCAAATTTTCGACTGCCCGAATACCACTTGCTGGGGGCGTAGAGAGCAGTGAGTGAAGCGAAGTGAAAGTTTCGCGGAATCGTAGAATAGTTTAGCCCGCGTGCCGACTCAAGGGGAATTCGGTTTATGCTTTGACTACCCCAACTTTTGCCTCGCAGTCCATCAAACATTAGAATATAAGTGGACCCGCGAACCGGCACAACGATCCTTTTGCCATCTAACCAACAGTTCGCCAGTCGCTCCATTCGATTTAAGGATGTATAGGCTATATACTTAAACAATGCTAGCATGTTGAATTTGTTATTATAGATTCCTATTAATGTTAAAAAGATACCTGCAAAATTTTAGATCAATTCATGGGTTTTTTGAAAAATTATAGTGACTTAAAATTTGCATGTACTCGGATGGTAATCAGCAGTAAGCCAAAGAAAACTTTCTGCTATTTTGGAAGAAACAACTTTTGGAAAGAACTTTTGGTTAAAGCATTCTGATGACTAATACGTGTA